GATGGGAAAAGAAGGTAGTAAATTCAACTATTGGCAGGACTTTGGGCATCAGGGAAAGTTTGGAAAAGGTTGCTGCCTACCTTAGTTGGTATGGGTTGAATTCATCGAAGAACTCCATTTGGTGAAAAGGAGAGACTTGAAATAGAGGTTACAAATTACTGAAAAACAATATTCTTAGGTGTGTATTTTTATGGATATTTTAGTTTCCTAGTGCTGTTCTAACAAATCTCCAGTAACTGGTTGGCTTAAAATAATATATTCTTACTCTTTCACAGTTCTGGGGGCTAGAAGTTCAAAATCAAGGTGTCAGGTAGGGCCTTGCTCTCTGAAGTTTCTAGGGAAGAACCTTTCTTGTCTTTTCCTAGCTTACTGGCGGTTCTTGGTGTTCTCTGGCTTATAGATCATCTCTCCTATCTTTGCCTCAGTGTTCAGGTGGCATTCTTTCCTCTTCGTATTTCTTATAAGGATATCAGTGATTAGATTTAAGGCCCACCCTAATTAGTATGACCTCATCTTACCTAATTACGCCTGCAAAGACTGTGTTTCCAAATGAGGTCACAGTTTTAGCTTCCTGGTGCATGTAAATTTTGTGAGAATGATATTCAAAGCAATATGATGGGTGTGGGCATTTGTGTGTATGAGTGTATGGGAAACTGGGGTGAGGGTCTATCATAACCTCTTTGAGAATGTACATTGTAATTCTCTTTCCATGATTTATTTCTGCTTCTTAAATGTGTTTAATATGAGAATAGGTGTATGTGGGGAAAATGTTAAATCACTTGCCTAAAACAGTATTTTTAAAATTCTGTGTTGACTACTTATTCTCTGCTATTCCTTGAGAACAAAAATAACTTTGTGAAATCTTTCCTATGCTTTTATAGTTCTAGCATTCTAAATTTATTACCAGGTCCAAAAGTTTCTTATTTACTAACGGTATTTGAACAGTATGAGTTATTCCAAGAACGCAGTTTGGTTTAAGCAAAGGTTATTAAATACTTGAATAATTTACTATGAAAAACTCTAGACTTTCACTGGCTTTAAAAAAAATAGTTTAGACTGTCCTTCCACATTTATCCACCATTACCACCACCACCGAGATGACACCAAGAAGTTAGTGACTATATATCCCCATATACCTGTATCTTTAGATTATTTTATTTATTAGTTATAAATACATAATGTTTGCAGAAATTGATTTTGGTAGTAACTTATAGTAAAATATCAGGTAAAAGATTAATTGACTCCCTTCTGGGCCTTTGGCTCCTATAGTAATAAGCATATTTAAAAAGTTCACTTGAAGTTTTCTGTTTATACTCCATAAAAGCAAATTGAATGCCTGTTGTTATCATCCATAAATAACTTAACTGCTAAGAATTTCTAGGACTGTAATAGAAAACCAGTGATTTCAGAAATTCATTAAATGGCAGAGAAATTAAACAGGGTTAATAAAACATGAACTTGGGACTTTGTGATTATTTTTTTAGATAAAGCTCTCAGTCTTGACTTTTTCCGTCTGACTTATTTCACTTAGCATGATATTCTCCATATCCATCCATGTTGTAAATGGCAGTATTTCTCTTTTCTTAGGCTCAGTAGTATTCCATTGTGTACATGTACCACCTATTCTTTATCCAATCCTCTATTGAAGGACACTTTGGTTGTTTCCATGTCTTAGCCACCATGAGTGATGCTGCAATAAAGATAGGGATACATATATCTTTACAAATAAATGCTTTCAAAATTTCAGGTAGGTACCCAGAAGGATTGCTGGGTCATATGGTAGCTCTATTCTTATATTTTTGAGGTACCTCCATACTGTTTTCCATAGTGACTGTACCGGTCTACATTCCCACCAGCAGTGTATGGGGGCTCCTTTTTCTCCACCACCTCTCTAACACTTCTTATTTCTTGTCTTGTTGATAACAGCCATTCTAACAGGTGTGAGGTGGTATCTCATTGTGTTTTTGATTTCCATTTCCCTGATAGTGAGGTTGAGCATTTTTTTATATATCTGTTGGCCATTTGTATGTCTTGGGAGAAGTGTCTGTTCGGGTCCTCTGCCCATTTTTTAATTGGATTATTTGGGTTTTTTTGGCATTGAGTTGTATGAGTTCTTTATATATTTTAGATATTAACCATTTATTGGAGGTATTGTTTGCAAATATTTTCTCCAATTCAGTTGGTTGCCTTTTTATTGTGTTGATGGTTTCTTTTGCTGTGCAGAAGCTTTTATTTTGATATAGTCCCACTCATTTATTTTTGCTTTTACTTCCCTTGCCTTTGAGGTCAAATTCATAACATCCTCTCTAAGACCAAGGTCCATAAGTTGAGTACCTATGTTTTCTTCTATGTAGTTTATTGTTTCAGATCTTATATCTAGGTCTTTGATCCGTTTGAGTTACTGTTTGTGTATGGTGACAAATAGTCTAGTTTCATTCTTTTCCATGTGACTTTTCATTTTTCCTGGCACCATTTATTGAGGAGGCTTTCTTTTCTCCATTGTATGTTTTTGGCTCATTTATCAAGAATTATTTGCCCATATATATGTGGGTTTACTTCTGGGCTCTCAGGTCTCTTCCATTGTTCTGTGCGCGTCTGTTTTTCTGCCAGTACCATGCTGTTTTGACTATTGTCGCTTTGCAGTATAATTTGAAGTCAGGGAGTGTGATACCTCCAGCTTTGTTCTTTTTCTCAGGATTGCTTTGGCCATTCAGGGTCTTTTGTGGTTTCATACAAATCTGATGCTTTTTTGGTACTATTTCTTTAAAAAATGTCATTGGGATTTTGATAGGGATTGCATTAAATCTGTATATTGCTTTGAGTAATATGGCCATTTTAACTATGTTTATTCTTTCAATCCATGAAGACAGAATATCTGTTCATTCCTTTGTGTCGTCTTTGATTTCTTTTAATAATGTTTTGTCGTTTTCATTGTATAGGTTGAGAAGTATAACTTTTGATAACACTTTGCAAGGATCCTTAGTAGTTAGAAACTGTTAGTGTCATCTAAGGATGAATTGTCTGCAGTTGGGAACATACTTAAATCAAGAAAAAGAATGAAACTAAACTTTTTTCCTTTGATAATGTCAGCTACCTTAGAAACTTGAAAATATAACATTTAGTGACACAAATGACAAGCTTTTCTTTAAACTGGCCTGTGAGCCTCTAGCCAGTGCAAAAGCTGTGTGCTGTCTTTCAGAAAGGAGATGGTGGCTCACCTTCTTTAGGACTAAGACTCCTGTGACAAGGGGGAAACTAAGGGCTCATTAACAACTAGAGAGTTGTAAATAGAAGAGTTAGTTAACTGTGCTTCAGGCACCTAAAATAAGAGCTCTTCATTTTCCCTAGATACTACCCAAGCCATGTCTCTTTCAAGGACCCAGTATAACCTGCCTCAAATTGTTTCTAACTTGCTGAAGAATCTTTTTTAGTGTTGGATCTATGCCTATCTTCCTGGATCCTAGCTTCCTGACTTGATCACCTCTAATACCACCTACTGCTGTAACCTTTCTTTTTCCTGACCTTGACTCACTTCTGTGCTGGTCACCTGACCTATCCAGTGCTAACTTGATATGCCTTTTGGTACCCTTGACATAATAGCCCAGCTCCATGGATGGTTTCTTAAGAGCAAACTGTTACTTAGCAATGATGCACTTGTAATTTTCCATGGTAATACATATGATATGTCACAGAAAGTAACATCAGGATATATTGGACCTGTTGATTTGAGAGTAGCATTATGTCTTAAGACTTTCTCAGATAGTCTTTAGAATGGTTATTAACTGGGCCTTAAAATATTCTTGACTAGAGCTCTCTGCAGACTAAAGTTAATATTTTTGAAGTGAAATAGTTGTCTTAAGTTCTTTCCCTAATTCAGCCTGGCCAATAGTGCATACTCAACTATGTATTTGTTGAATGTATGATAGTTGCCAAATTCATACTTAATTATTCTCTTTGGTTTCACCAGCATAAGCCATTCAGGTACCTTTATTTTTGGTTTCTTATTTCTGTGTAAAACATTCTTAAATTACTTGTTTTATCCACAAGCTAATAGAATATTTTATAGCAACTATAAATTTGGTTTAAATCCAGTGATAGTGCTATAGACAAACCATATCTAACATTTACCATTAAATATTGATTCTACCTGAACCAAATAGCACATTTAGATCTTAGATGTTGATTAGAACTTATATATCACATATAGCAGATTCACGTGTTGATTTTAGAATACTAAATTGACTAGCTTCTGTCTATATAAGTAAGGTTGAAATTGGTATGCCGTAGTGCCTGAAAAGCTTAATTATTTTATATATAATGTACTGCTATAAAGGAAGTTAAATTTACATGGCAATGAGCATTAACTTCCTCCTGATGTTCTGATGTTTTAAAATATTTAAATATAATGTTTAAAAATTAATATGAAGAATAATTATAAAATTAATATGCTTTTTATATGTAGTTTGTGTGATCTGTTTATTTTATAGTTGTGACTTCAGTATCATTAGAAGTTTTTAAAAAATCCTAAATACAGTAGGATTGCATCTTTGTTTCAAAATTTACTGATATAGTACGTAGTGCTTAAGAGCAACTAATGATGCAGTGATGAGATGAGCCCTATTTTAAACCTGTAGTCCTATGTAATTTCAACCATATGCAAAAAAAATTTGATTTAAGTAGTTACAACACTGTATAATATAGACGAATTGTTGAGTTACAGTGAACATTTACATTGTACTAGTGAACACGTGAGCATTTCTAACCTATGGGATATTTGTTTTGCAGGAGAAAATAGCAATTATTTGCACAACTTGAATATGTAATTCCCCATTCATATAAATTCTTTCACCAGTTGTTACCACAAAGTTGGCTAAAGTTAATACTCTTCTGTCATAATAGATTAAGGCAATTTACATTTAGTTTTCTTTGTCTTTTTTGTTTGTTTGTTTGTTTGTTTTGTTTTATTTCCTCCACTCCCCAATTATTTCATGGCCTTTCAGTGCTTCAGAGAATTTAGATGAGCTCTCTTCCTCGAGTAGCTGGTTACTTAACCAGAAGCACAGTAAGAAAAGGAGAAAAGACAGGACAAGATTGAAATCTCCATCCTTGACTGTCATGAGCACAGCAGCTCGAACAAGGCCACTTCAGAGTTTCCACAAACGAAAACTCTACAGATTGAGCCCTACTTTGTGTTGGACTGCGCAGGTAAGTTTGCCTTTAGGAAACATGAGCAAAGATTTCACCATCAATATATTTCATGTACAAGAGGATATGGATTGTACACTGTTATTTAGAATAATTACATCTAGAAAGTTTTAAATATATAGTTTACAAGTGACATACTAGGTATCAATAGTATATTAGTGGGATTTAATAATTTTTTAAACATAGCAGTATATTCTGAAATTTCTTACATCTCCATTTTTTAAAATCCACTATTATACTTAAACTAATTTGAAGGAAAATTACATATCAAGGTGATTTTAAAATTTTACTGGTAAGGGTAATAAGGAAAACACAAGTGTACTACACATTTGTCTTTGCTTAGTAAAGAAAATAAAATCTTCATAGCTATCAGTGATTTTAAAGGAAATGGCATTCTTTTGCATCTTAGGGTTGGTATTTATTAATTCTGGTGAGCATTCTGTTTCCTTTCTCTAGACTGTAAGCAATGCAACTTTATAGGTCCATGCTTACACTTTTTACAAATGAAACATACTTCATTAAAAGCATTTGTTTGGGCCCTGGCCTGTATGGCCCCATTAGTTGTCTGTCGTTCCATGTACCAAAGGGCTGCTGGTTTGATTCCCCATTAGGACACATGCCCGGGTTGCGGGCTCCATCCCTGGTAGGGCACGTGTAGGAGGCAGCCAATCGATGTTCCTCTCTCACATCAGTGTTTCTTTTTCTCTCTCCCTCTCCCTTCCTCTCTTTTTAAAATCAATAAAAATATATATTTAAAAAAATTTTTTTTAAAGCATTCATTTTGAAAAGCATATGTTTTCATTTGTTAGCAAAATGTGAGGCATATACCTTTCAGTGCACATCTAAACAAACTGATGAAGGACCGAAGGAGTTACCTCTGGTTCTTGTATGACATGCTTTTCCCCTATTATATTTTTAAAGAGCATGTTGAAGGAAAGAAATTCTCCTTGATGCTGTCACTTAATAGTGTTTCTATAATGACTATATTAAGTATTTTAAATATATTTGTATAAAAATCAAGATGCTTTGTTTCATTAGTAACCAATTGTAATTATGGCTTTGTAGGGTCCAATTAAAAATAGGAATGTGGATTCTGACAAATTCGCTTTTATTAATAGATTGAGTTTACCATTTAGTAGTTCAGATATTAGTATGCTCCACCAACTTGAAGATATTTAAGTTTTATTTCAGAATTTACTAGTAGGAAAATATTTTTATTTAATGATTTTATATATAAAGTCATATTTAATGGTTTTTATTTAAAGTTGCTACAAGCAATAGATAAATAGTATTTTTGAAATTGATTTTATAATTTCACAATTACAAATTGAATTTGTCTATATAAAATATTTTACATGTGAATATGCCATGATATATGGACTACAAGGAATCTGCTTGAATAATTTAGGGGATTTTCTAGATGTTACCAAAATACTATATACATATATATGTGTGTGTGTATTTATATATGCCTTAATAATGTAAAGACTGGCCAAGAAAGGTGTGAACAAATTTAAAAACTTTTAGCAAAAAGAGGAAGGAACAAGTGTACAATTATTGTTACAAGTAGACCATAGAACTTATCATATTGTCATCATAGTGCTAAGGATTTTCAATACATTGTTTTATTTAATCCTCAAACATATAATCCTACCTTTAGATGCAGAAGTTGAGGTTTAGGGAGATTAAGTAGCTTGCCCAAGGTCACATAGTTAGTAAGCAGTAAGTCTGATTCCAAAGCCCATGTTCTTACCCATTACATTGATAACAACAAAAATGAACCAATTCTTTTGTGTGCTTGAAATCAGTAAAGAGAGTATATTTTTGGGTTGGGCTTTGTCTTGTTAAATGTATTAAGAAATACATCATAAAAGATTGGCTTTGAAAATAAGCAGAATATTGAAAAGGCATGGGGGAGATAAAGAAAGTATTTTGAATGAATAATTGGTACGGAGATGAAAAAAACTGATGGGGAATAGCAAATGCCTCCAGCCCCAAATTAACCTTAAATTGCCAGGTTAATATTTCTTTATCTTCCTGACCTTAATAAATGTAATTTCTCTCAGGAAGCTTTCCTTGACACTGTGGGGTATATATTGATTTAACACCTTGTATTATAATAATACATTATTTTATAATAATACATTTATTTTTGTCTTCTCATTACATTTAACTTTTTAGAGAACAGGGATGTACATTTTTAAATCTACAGGGCCTTGAATAGTAACTGTCCAATAGTGTATGCTTAACAAATAATTGTTTAATATGAGAAAGAATTAATGTAGTGGAACATAGGAAGATATTTAAAAGGTAGTGGAGAGTGAGAACTTATGTGTGTGTGTGTGTGTGTGTGTGTGTGTGTGTGTGTGTGTTTGTGTTGCCTAAATTTGCCTTGTGAAAGGGCCTAGAACAGTAATGTCCGATAGAACTTTCTGTAATGCTGGAAATGTTCTATAAATATCAGTGCTGTCTTATATGGTAGCTATGAAATACATATAGTTTTTGAGCACATGAAATTTGGCTAGTATGACGGAGGAACTGAATTTTTAATTTATTTTTATTAATTTTGATTTAAATAGCCACATGTGCATAATGGCTACCAAACTGGATATGACAGGTCCAGACTCATACGACCCTAATAGCAGTGAGTACACCTGGCACTCATATTTGTGAGTATACCTGACATTAATACCATTCCCTACTGAAAGGAACCAGGGATTTTCAGAGATATGGCTGACGTCTGGGGCTCGGGGGAAAAAAGATTTTAAATAAGACTGGAACATCTTAATGTTACCAGTAAGGAGGAAGTGTTAAAAAAAAAATGCTAGGGACATACCCAGAGTATCCGGGAGCTAGTTTGAAGAGGCTTTCACTGGTCAGATATGCAACTCTTTGCGCATCCAAATAACTAAGGACAGTAGTGAACCATTGAGGAAATATGAAACCATTAGTCCATACTAACGAAAAAGAGTGAGGGAGAGATAAAAAGGGGAATGGGTGGATTTTAACATATAGCAGAATGCTGATTAATAAATGTGGGGTGAGCAGTGAAATTAGAGAATCATTGCAATAATCATAGTAAAGACTGATTGGGCAAGAGTCATAAATAGGTGAAAAATCTGGACTGAGAGGTTTGATGAGGGAGCAGGATGTTTGCATGATTTTTAACTATATGGTAGAGATCCAGATAATAACCTTGCCTGAGTGATCAAAACTAAGGATACAATATCACTACATAGTATTCTGGACAGGGTTACATAACCTGAATTTAATCATGGGGAAACATCAGACAAAGCAAAAATCAGAAATATGCTATTAAAACAACACCTGGCTTATATTCTTTAAAAAATGTCAGTGTCATGAAAGCCAGGAAAGGCTGAGGAACTGTTAGAGATTGAAAGAGAGACTAACAAGTTAAATCATAACCAAATGAATATATGATCCAAATCAGAATGCTTTTGGAGGGAAAAGAATTATTGGGACAATTGACAAAACTGGACTATTGATGGTAGATTATGTAAACGTATCAATGTTGAATTTCCTCAATGTGATTTGCATTTAGGTAAGAAAATATCTTTATTCTAGGAAATACATATTGAAATATTAAGGGATAAAGTGGCTAAGTCATTCACTTTGTGTAATTAACCTCTGTGTGTCTAGAATGATACTAGCAATGTAGCATTCTTGGAAGAATTGATAAAATAATTTTTAGATCATTTTCTATAGCACTTATTAACTCTCTACGAGAGCAGGGTTGAGAAAAGCTTATATAAGGGTGATGGAGAGAGGTGGGAGTCTTTGCTATCTCGTAGCAAAGCTGTCTGATCATCACTCTCATTGCAACAACTGTGTATAAATTACCAAAAAAATATCATACTATTAAAGACATTAGCAGGACTTTTGGGGGACTCATAATAGAGGCTGCAGGGCAAACTGCCACTTGGAAATATGGGGAGTGGTAAATCCAGAGTCACAGCCAAAGTCCGCTTACCTGGAGCAGAAGCCACAGTAGCCCTAAAGTGACTGGTGGAACACTTAAATAGTCATTTTGATGAATTGCAAGATGCTGAGTGCAGACTAGCTTGAGAGTGAAAAGCTCCTGGGGACCACACTCTTAGGAAGCCCCCACACTTTCATGGACTTTACTTCTAGGCAACCCACTAAGTTCTCACAGTGAAGAGCCAAGAATGATCCCTAGTAGCTGTCACAGAAGGGGAGCACCTGTGTGAAATAAGCCTGGAGTATCATCTATAACAAGGCTTACTCATCAGGGGGAAAGATTTTACCAGAACCTTACTCCTGGAAGAAGAGTGTTTCTCCCACTCCTGCCCTGGTAGCCTTTCTGTCTCAACTATGTTGGAACAGGAGTGGAAAATAAGAAACACTTGTTTCCCAGCCAGCGTGGCTCAGCGTTTGAGCATCAGCCTATGATCCAGAAGATCGAGGTTCGATTCCCAGTCAGGGCACATGCCCCAGTAGTGGGCTCGATCCCCAGCAGGGGGCGTGCAGGAGGCAGCCGGTCAATAACTCTCATCATTGATGTTTTTCTCTCTCCCTCTCCCTCTCCCTCTCCCTCTCTGAAGTCAATAAAAATATGTTTAAAAAAAGAAAGGAACACTTGTTAAGGTCACTCAAAGACTGAGATTTAATCTTAAGAGTATACTACATCATGCTGCTGTAGTTGACGTGCTTCCTCTCCAGCACACCAACAGGATTCCAGTATAACTGGATTACATCTGTAAGGCATAGACTCTTTCTAAGGAGTTGAAAAGTCAACAGGGGAGACAAAAACAAGGACACTAGAGGAATTTGAGGCCTCTGGCACCTACAACTATAGCAGACATTAAAAGCAGTCCAACTGTTAGCCAGGTTAACATAACATCTCAGGGCCTGTTTATCTCAGTCCTATTAGTTGATACATTGTGTCCAGCTTTCAACAAAAAGTTACAAGGCATGCTAGGAAAAACACACTCTGAAGAGACGAAGAATCATCAGAACCAGGCTGAAGTATGACCAGGATGCTGGAATTCTCTTAAATAACTATGATTAATATGTTAAAGTTCTTAATGGATGAAGTATAAAACATGCAAGAACAGATGGTAATGTAAACAGAAAGATGGGAACATGTAAGAAGAATCAAAAGTAAATGCTCAAAATAAAAAACACTGTAACCTAAATAAAGTATGCCTTTCATGGGCTCATCAGTAGACCGGACATGGCTGAGGGAAGAATCAGCAAGCTTAGAAAGGTTAATAGAAACTTTACACACTAATATGCAAAGAGAAAAAGGAATGGAAAAAACCCAGAACAGCACATCCAAGAATTTTGGGGTAATTTCAATAGTGTATCAAATATGTAATTGAAATAGTAGGAGGAGGAAAAGAGAATGGAGCAGAAAAACTATTTGAAGTCATAGTACCTGGGAATTGTTCAAAGTTTAGGACAAGCACCAAGCCACGTATCCAGGAATCTCAAGCAGGAGAACATCAAGCAGGATAAAAACCAAAAAATAAACACGTAGGCATAAAATACTCAAACTGCAGAAGACCAAAGACAGAAAATCTTGAAGAAAAAAAAAGCAGAAAGAAATATCTTACCTGTAAAAGAGCAAGGGTAAGAATTACAGCTGACTTCTCAGACTTCTCATCAGAAACCTTGAAAGAATGCTTGCTTCGGCAGCATATACACTAAAATTGTAGTGATACAGAGAAGATTAGCACAAGGTTGGCACACAGATTTGTGAAGCGTTACATATTTTTATGTGTGCTTCCAGCTGGGTACTGGAAATATCAGGGGAAAACTTTGTAAAATATATGATTATTTAACCCCTATGTTGTACATCTGAAACTAATATAAATTAACATTGAATGTAAACTGTAACTGAGAAATAAAACTTAACTTAAAAAAACACACACCATGCAAGCCAAAGACAGTGGAATGAAATACTGTTATGGATTGAATTGTGTCCGCAAGAACTTATTTGTTGAAGTCCTAAACCCTAGTACCTGAGAATGTGAGCTTATTTGAAAATAGGGTTGTTACAGACATAATTAGTTAAGATGAGGTGATTAGGGTGGACCCTAATATGACTAGTGTCCTTATAAAAAAGAAAATTTGGGCACAGATGCATGCACATAGGGTGAATGCCATATAAAGATGAAGACTGAGATCAGAGTTATTTTTCTATAAACCAAGGTGCACCAAAGATTGGCAGCAAAATCCAGAAGCTAGGGGAGAGGCGTGGAACAGATTCTTCTTCACAGTTCTCAAAAAATCAATCCTGCTGACACCTTCATCTGACTTCTTGCTCTCAGAACTATGAAACAGTTATAGCAGATCTAGCAAACGAATATGGTGACCTTATTTGGAAAGTCAGTCTTGGTAGATGTGATTAAAGTAGTGATCTTGAAATAAGATCATTTTGGATTTGGTTGGGCCCTGAATCCTGTGACTGGTGTCCTCATATGAGAAAGGAGAGAGATTGGAGCACAGAGACAGATAAAAAGTCTATATGAGGATGCAGATAGAGGTTGGAGTTATACTACCACAAGCCAGGGAATGCCAGGAGCCACCAGAAACTGAAATAGGCAAGGAACAGTTCTTTCCTATATATTGCAAAGGGAGTGTGATTGTGCTAACACCTTATTTTTGGACTTCTGGCCTCTAGAACTGTAAGAAATTAATTTCTTTGGTTTTAAGCACCCAGCTTGTGACAAAATGTTATGGTTGCCCTAGGAAACTAATACATTTTGGTACCTGAAAGTAGGGTGCTGCTTTAACAAGTAACCTAAAATTGTAGAAGAAGGTTGTGGTTTTGAGTTCCCTGTCAGGGCACATACAAGAATGAACGCATAAATAAGTGCAACAAATCCCTGTTTCTCTTTCTCAAATCTGAGTGTGTATGTGTGTATATATGGAAGTGAGAATAGAAGACAACGGTGCTGCCATCTTAGAAAATACATACGTTGTTGTGAACAGAATGTTACTAGAAATATGAATGTTTGGTATAAAGTGGTAGAAACTTGGCTGAGTAATATTTTACTGTTAAGTGGAAAATAGAAGTTGTAAGCATTGAACTCTTGGATGGTTAGCTAAGGAAATTATCAGGCATAGTGTGGAATTTGCACTGTTGATTTCTCCTTGTTGTTCATAGTAAAATATGAGAGAAAATTCATAGACTGAGGGATTGTTGAGCAAAAAGGAACCAGAACTTGATAATTTGGAAAATCTCATTCTGTTGCAAAAAATGCTATGGCATGCTCTGGAAAGAACTCAAAGGTGTGTGTGGACAAACTTTTGCTGGAGAGATTAGGCATGTGACTCAGGGATCCAATCAACCATCTTAGCAGAAGCCAGGAATGGAGATTGGGTTACTCTGAAAATATCTGGGGAGAACCCACTTGTTTAATGACATGGATCATCTTAACATACAGGGGAGACCCACGTGGTTTTTAAACATGTTATAACAACAGAAACACTACCAGCTTAGACTGAAAGGGACAGAGATGGACCAAATGAATGGAAGTTGTTGGAACCCCAAAATTTTACAGGCAGGAAATGGACTGATAGAGCTACTCAGCTACCAACACATACCATCCTTCAAGAGAAAGGATGCCCTCACAGTTGAAAATCCATGTTTAATGTAAGTTGGCCCTCCACATATGTGGATTTTGAACTGAGGATCGAAAATACAGTTGAGCTTCTTCACAGCTGTGGATTTAACTACCTGTGGATAGAAAATAGTATTTTAGATTTGCAGTTCTGAGGGAAGTATTAACCTCTTCTCCCAAAGAACTCTGATGTCCCATCCCATTACCTCATTCGGCTCAGGCTTAAAGCCTTGAATTTCATCATCTTACATCATGTCCAGGTACCTGAACTGAGACTTTTTTGTGTGGCTTCTCAGGTGTGGTTCTTTGGGTACAGCTCCTCAAGTATGGGTCCTCTGGATTGAAAGACTTGTGAACTAATGTTATTAGTTATTTGCTTTACACATATCCAGCACACAATGAGACAGGGGTGATCAGAATAGATACTGCTCAGATGGGGAAATGGGAGTAATGTAGTAGTTCTAAAATACACCATTAGGAACATGTTGCAGGGTCATTGATGTGGGCCTGTGCCTATGCAAATGGTTCTTTGTAAATCTTAGCTCTGCCCTCTGGTGTCTTCTCTGTATTCTCTGAGTTGTCTTTTCTTTTCCTTAAAAAAGAGCCCTTTTTGCATAGATGTGCTTCCTGTCTGTAGAAGGTAAAGGCCCAGAGGCCCTTTCATTCTACAAGTCTCTTCTTGATTTTGGACTTTGTATGAGGCCACTGTGCTATCGATAATGCCCTTCAGATACTAAGAAGCACTTTGGGTCTAGAAGAGAAGGTCATTGGGGCACACCTTTGAGATTCCTAGAAGCCTCTTGACTAGGTGCAGACCTATCAAACAGCCTCAAACCTTTCTAAGGTCTAACAAAGGTACTACAGTCTTACTCTTGAGATCAAGGTCCCAGTTTTACTGACAGTTCCCTGGATTTGATCTTTGAATAGAAGTCATTTCTTACTGTGTGAATCTTTTGTTGTCTGGAGTGGCTGGAAACAAGAAACAGTATTATTGTTGAACCCAGCAAGCCTTGGCTCTTATTTCCTCTAAATTCTGCTTGAAAACATTACAGGTCCTTATTAAGCTCATCCTACTTTATCCAAACTTTATCATAGGCAATTAAATGAAACCAATTGGTATTTTGAACATTCTGCCTAGAAATCTCTTAGATCTGTGAGTTTATTATGTACCCTTTCTATTCCCCGCATTTCTACAGGCAATTGTTACTGTACTTGTTCTGCCAAAGCAATAAGATGAGAGAAATAAAGGCATAAGGATTGGAATAATTATTTAGAATTATTATTTGCAGAGGTTTTGACCCCTCTGCTGGTCAAAATTAACAAAAAGCATAAATTAGTATGCATTTCCACTTGATTTTTCTCTTTTTATAATACTAATCTCCAATGAGAATGTCAAATAATAACTAATATTTATTAAGCAATTATCATATACCAGGCACTGTTTTAACTTACAAAAACTTTATATGCATTTATTATTTAATATTCATAACTCATTTGATATGGGAAACTGAAGCACAAAGTAGAATATAATACACATATTTAGCACCATTTCAATAAAGTATAAGTTTGTAGTTTTAGTGCTAATGCTAAGTCTTACTCCTTCGCTCATGAGCCTGAGTGACACCTATGATCTGGATCTTTTGTGAGCTGCTGCAGACTGTTTCCTCCTGAGAAGTCACAGTCCAGAGCGACAGCTGTGAACTCCATGCAGTTTCTAAAGCTGTTTTAATGTTTTCAGCTTGCTTATTCTGTTAGCTGAATCCTATCTTTTGCTGTCTAAGCCTGTTTATTACCAGGACCTTAGTTTATTCTTAGAGGATCTGTGCTTGGTATACTATTGCTCTGTCTGCCTACAGAATAGAAGTATCTCTAGATCCAGGAAAATGCAATGGCAGGCACATTTAAGATAGGAACATGTGCTCCAGATTAACACTCTAGTATAAAGGTCTCACAGGGTAAATGTGGCTAATAGCTTTCTTTAAGTACAGTTTCATTTGCAATTACGAATTAAAGGTAAAAGAGTTCTTAGGCCACAATATGCTTCTTTAGCCCCTTCTTGATTTAACTTTATAGCATTTATATAACATGTCTTTGAGAATATGCTTTATGTTACTGTGAATAAATCTGGAAGGTAGCAATCCTAAAGAGCCTAAAAATTATTTCCTATGGGGAGGCAGCACATTTTAGTGGTTTTATGCTTGAATTTTAGAAAATACATTGGGTGAAATCTTAGTTGTACTTCTTAATACAGTATAGTAAAAATCACTTACTGCCGTGTTTTCTCATCCATCAAAGTAGGGCTGCCTTCATGTGGCTACAGTCTGCTGGAGCTGGGAGAGGTTGGCCTCGCCTGCTCTGCTAGCAGGTAGTGCTGGCTGTGGCTGAGGAGACTTGGCTCTCTCCCTGGGGCCTCTCCTGCAGTCGCCAGCTAGAATGGCCTTATCCTGTGGCCCTTGCAGACAGTGCTTCAAGAAGGCAGGGAGGAAGCTGCAAGTCTCTTGAGGCCTACACCCTGCATCTCAGTAACACCATCTCTACTGCATTCTCTAGGTCAGAGCAAGTCACATGGCCAGCCCAGATCCAAGGAGATGGAGAAACAGACTCCACTGACAGGACGCAGTTGCACAAAGGGGAATACACGCTACAGGGGTGGGAAAAATCTGCCACCGTTAGGCAGTCTTTCACTTGGGGTCTACGTTGAGGGTTAGGTAACCTCAAATTAAGACACCAGTTAAGCAATAAAGAAAAAAATAATAGGCCTACCATATAGAGTTGTGTTGGTATTAAATAAGTAACACATTTGAAATGTAACCCAGCCCAGTGCCTGGCATAAGACTCCTCATTGTGAATAATGACGATGCTGATGATATACAATGATAACGACAACACTGAGGAATTGAATCAGTGATGGTTGTGGTGTGGGGAAGTGATAGGATCAATGTATTTGAAAGGTTGACTTGGTTCCTTTTAACAGGACAACTTGCTCTGGGAAGAGACTGGAAAAACAGATCATTAGGAGGCTATTACAGTAGTCCAGACGTAAGGTTAGAAAGACAGAATGAAATGGACTGCTATAGAAACATTTCGGAGGAGAAAGGACTCGACTTCTTAACTGATTTAATATGATTAAAGAAAAACTTTAAAGAGGATGGGAAGAAGAGGCACAGCAAATTATAACGCTTAGCCCACTTTGTAAAATGCCCAAATCAAGTCTTCATGGTAATTCATTCTTTTATTAGGTAGGATTTACGTAGCAGCAGAACATGAGCCAAATCTGACTCATAATTCTGTCAGTTCCATTGTGAAGTGGGTGAGGGAAATGTTTCAGAACCCAAATAAACAAACCTTAAGTCATCGCTTTAAACTTGTGTGGTCCTCAGGGGTTTTTTTATAGCCCATTCTCCTTTATGTGGTGTATTAATTCTTTCAAGTTACTGTTGAAAGAATAGCAGATATTCCCCATCTTTCTTGCCTGCTGCAGCTGATTGGTAGTGGCTATTGGCTGTCTAAAGCTCTGTTTGAGGAAGATGTTGATATCTGGGCTTGGGGGAGAGCCATGGTTAATTAATAATGTTTGCCACAATTGAGAAAGGACTGGTAACAGACATGCTATATTATTTGCCATTCCTGTACTAAGTAGTCACATCAACATTAGCATGTTAAAATGATTAATTTACTTTCTGTGTTACTTAGAAGGTAATCTATAAATACATAAATGGATGCAGTGCTTTGTTGTTTATAGATCACTTGCATATGCAGTTCAGGAGTTGCTTCACAAATAGGAATACTATATCTTTAGTTTCTTAAAAATCTTGGGGGAGCACTTTGTAAAGCATATAATTATCTAACCACTATGCTGTACACCTGAAATTAATACAAAACAATATTGAATGTAAATTGTATTTGAAAAAAATTTAAAAATTAAAAAAAAATCTTAGGGAAATTGAGCCAGTACTAGTTTAAATACTGCTTAATAATATTTTTCTAAAAACATATTTGTTAAAATGTTAAATCTGGTAGTAGCTTTGTTTATTTTCATAAAATTTTTGGCAAAAGAATCTCAAAGTGTAAGTTAGCTACTTTTAAAAATCATTGAAGCTGGACTGGCATGGCTCAGTGGTTGAGCATCGACTTAGGATCCAGAAGATCGAGGTTCGATTCCCGGTCAGGGCACATGCCCGGGTTGCGGGCTTGATCCCTAGGTGGGGGCGTGCAGGAGGCAGCCGATCAATGACTCTCTCATCATTGACATTTCTCTCTCTCCCCCTCTCTCCCCATCTCTCTCCCTCTCCTTTCCTCTCTCTGAAACCAATAAAGATATATTTTTAAGAAAATCACTTAAAGCATTTTTACACCGACACCAGTATGGTGATGACCAGAGAGAAGGGGACGGGGGAGGTAGGAGAGGGTATGGGGGGATAAATGGTGATGGAAGGAGACCTGACTTGGGGTGGTGAGCACACAAACAATATACAGATGATGCATATAGAATTGTACACCTGAATCTTTTATGGTTTTATTAACCAATGTCACCCCGATAAATTCAATATAAAAGAAAAATAAGTAAAACATTTCTAAGGAATGAAGTATTTTACTCCTCATTTTGTTAAAGTGGTTATTATTCCTAGGCTGCTTTATTAGCTCCTCTCTTCTTTTTCTGCCTTTCTTCCACAAGGGCTATGCATTTGAAGAATGTGGACATGTAACCAGTCCTCCTGCAGATTTCTTTGAAGTTAAAAATACATTCTTTTTCATGACTACAGTTGAATCTTGACAAATATCAAAATATTTAAAATATCTAATAAGAATTACTAAAATAGAAAAATGTTAACCAGTTAAAAATGAGCAAAAGACTTGAATGTACCACTTTCATAAAAGAGAGATTCTGCCCATCCAACAAATAGAAAAAAGTGGCCAACTCATTGGTAATTTGAAAAAATTCAGATTAAAAGAACAAGATACCACCTTAACCCACTAGATTGGGAGATAATAAAAAATAATAATTATTTAAAATATGTTTTTATTGATTTCAGAGAGAGGAAGGGAGAGGGAGAAAGATAGAAATATCAATGATGAGAGAGTCATTGATCGGCTGCCTCCTGCACACCCCCTACTGGGGATCGAGCCCACAACC